CCCCAAAACCCCAAAACCCCAAAACCCCAGTCATAAAGATATCTTAGTAAAAGGAAAACTTTATAATAAAAAATATTAAATAAAAATTATATTTCTTTCGACAAAATGTTAGAAATTTATGATTGAGTCAATAGCATTTCATTAAAAAATCATTTCCTGAACTTATTGCTGACTATTTTCATTTATTGTATTTTTGTTCAGAAGATTATTTAATTTGTTTATTCTTTTTCTGCCAAACCTATCACCATCTATAATCTCATATTCATTATCGCTTGAATTTGGTGAATCTATTTCTCTTTCCTCTTACAAGAACATGTTTTGATAAGTTAAACTTGCCTTATTGCAGCCAAAATAAATTGCTACACCGAGATTCTTAATTATACTAAAAGCAATTAGAGCTACTATAACCCAACCATATGTTTTCCTCTCATCTAAGTTGTAATCATTTGCCTTTAGTATTGAGAAGATTAAAATGATTAGAATTATTATTATTTCATCAAGGACTGTTGTAGCTTGCAGGTTTTCTTATTTAAAGGGTTTATATGTTATCATATAGATAATCATTGTTATATTGCAAGCTAGTGTCATCAAACATTAAATGAGTGGGTATCTAAATACAAACACAAGGATTGCGCATATAGTTAATCTTTGAAAAATGAACAGAGGATAATAGTAGATTTGCAATAAATGATCTGATTATAAGTCTTCTGTGAGTACTCCAAATGAATCAATCCAGCTATGCTTTTCTATATTTTTTCTATTTAAAAAGATTACTGTCATAAGAAGAAATGGCAGAATTATTGAAAAAGATCCCACAAAAAATAAAGTAATTGATGCAATTATTTGTGATTTATTAGAGAATTTGATGAATTGGGTATTGATCAAAACTATCAATATCAGTTCTAGATATAATTCCATAAAAGTTCTCATGGGTACATTATAGAAGAATCCTTAGACTAGATCTTAGAATAACTTTATAGTCTTAAATTTCTTGTTTAAAAGTATAGTAAACGGTAGTATCACCAAAATCGATACCATCCATAAACTAATTTTCTCACCGTAACTAATTGCTACATAAGGAGTTAGATCATCAGCCTAAAATTTGTAATAAAACTGTTAAGAGTCAACAGGTTCATACACATCTTCTTCTATAATTATCATCTTAATTACAGAAGGAACAAAGCTTTTAAGATCAATATCACCACTTGAGAATGTTAAATAACTAGTAAACATTGATATTTAAGGTGGAAACTAAATATCCATATAGAGTAAGTAGATAAAAACTTATAGAGCATGCACTAGACCCCAAAGATATTACATCGATGAGTTGAGTATAAATTTTAAAAGCAAATTTATACTGAAAAAGGACATTACTGAATATTAAAGGGACTAGCCTCCACTCTATACAATCTATTTCTCTTCAGGTGACAAATAAGTAAAAGGATATGGATTTATAGTTACTTATCTTTTTTACAAAGTGTTATTTGCAAGATCTTTTATAAGGGTTGAATTCATGAAAGTCACACTAATATCCTCTGATCCCTACAGACTTTATTGCATCTCACTTAGTATAAGCTTAAATCTTTAAATCTTTCTATCTGGTACGAGCTACTAATTGCCTTCTTCAATTATTCTCCAATCAAAATTGTAATTAAGTTTTGACCCTATAATATCAATCTGGAGATTTTCAAGAGTAAAAACTTTATCATTTTCTATTGTTATTGGCTCTGAAAATTCAAGCAGAATGAGATTTAATTTAGTTATAGCTGTTATAGTTAGTAAAGGTGGAACAATTTCATGACATGTTTAATTAGCTGCAGGACAATTAAATCCAGCTTCAATCTCACATTCATTACTGCATCCATCACCACTGTTTTAATTACCATCATCACAGTTTTTTTCAATAATTAATCCATCACCACATATATCTTCACATTCCATCTCTTTGTTAGTAAACATTCCTTTTATATTTTCACATTTTATACAAGTTCTATTCTCTGAAATATATTCATATCCTAGGTAACAATCCAAACATTAAAATTCACCAAAGTCAATGCAGTTCTTACAACTTGGATGGCAATATTCACATTAACCTTTTAAGACCCCATTTTTAAGGCTAGGTTCCCATTTAAAGAATTATCCTTGTTTACATTACGGAATAATACAAGCAGTATTAACTAATAAATATCCTTGTCTTGAGACAATATTGAACTAATTTCTATGAAAATGTTCTGTGCAATTATTGCATTATGTAGATTTTGAACCATAACAATCATTACACAAAGGATGGCACACTTAAAATTGGATAAATTTTATAAAATTTATTACATTTACATTTAGAGTCAGTTTTATCTCCATAATATCCTTTAGGACATTTGGAATAACAGCCATCTTAATAGTAGAAGTATCCCTTCTCACACAATTAGCACTCTTTGAGATAATTTTCTCCTGTACAGTATATACATTATTATGGACAGTTTATACAGTAATCATTTTAATCTCAATAAGTACCAGGTAGACAAATATCCACACACTATTTTTAATGTATTAGCATCAAATAATTACCTCTCCTTTATAAAAGTAAAATCCTGGTTTGCATTTAGTACACATATTATAGTCACTTCCCCAGCATAATAAACATTTATAATAGCAAGCTATAAATTTTATGAATATCAAATTAGTTCTTACGTTATACTCTTATTGTAAAGGATATCACTGTTTCCACCGATGAATCGTCAACTCCAACTAGCTCTAAACTATAATCTCCTATAGAATCTTCAGTGGCGAAACCTGATAGACTTCCATTTGAGTAATTATTAATGATAAAATATGGCAGCTCGAGCCTACCGTATTCTCTAAAATAAAAGGTATAGTTCTTTTTTTCTGGGTTACTGAATAGAGAATTAACATTTGTATGAAACATAAATTTGTTATTTACAATGGCAACTTTGTTGGGTAAATCATTTTTTACTACAAGGCCATAATTAGGAATAATGGTCACATAAAATTTCAAATATGTTGGAGTAGTTATTTCATCATCAAATTTCAGCTATAATTCATGCAAGCCTTGGTATTTGTTTTCTTTTGGGAAAAACTAAAAAATGAATTTCTTATCATCGAATAAAAGCCAATTTGAATGGACTGCCCCAAATTATGTATTATTAATATATAAGGTAAGAATATAATCTTCTCTTAATTCATTAGTTATATTCTCAAGACTAAGATTAAATCCATAAGGCAAAAGCATTGAAAAATTACCTGGATGATACAAGAGCTATATCTAGGGCTTGGCAGTTAAATTCACAGTAATCTAAAAAGTGCTGGGTGAATCATCAAATCCATCTGATAGAAGACAATTTATCATATAAATACCAGCAAATTGATTGTTTCTTGGAGTGGCTCCGATAATACTATAGGATCCATTTTCATAATCTGTAAATTGGATCCAGTCCTTGTTAGGGGATGTCGAAGGCTTTAAGATATTATTGCAATCAACTGTGAATTCATCTCCTTCTGTATCTATGAAGTTTTTATGATGAAAAAATTTCGAAAAATGCTTAGGTACAAATAATTAAGGAATTGTGTTAGAAGTTAGATTTTCACTGTTCGCTTTTGGAGCTTTATTTCTAGGTGAAAGCATATTATATTCATCTCCTACAAATAATCTTAAGTAGTTTACAGTATTAGTAGAAGGATTAGGGGGATTCACTAGTTGATATTCCACTAAGTCGCTAGAATTAGATATAACTTAAACCCATGATGATGTACTTAGGATAGTAAAATTCCAAGGATCGTAGAAGTCAATCCATATTACAGCTTAATTGTATTCGATATCTTTGTCAAAATAAACAGCATCATAAAATGAATGCATGCCGAAAATAGTAACATTTTTATTGAATGTCTCTAAAAGGAAAGGAGGCTGATTTGGATTAACCTGTAAAATAAATTTTGATGAAGACTGTCTTTTCACACCTGATTCAAGAAAGGTTGAGTTATAGATCAATGTATAGTTTCCCATATAAGAATTCAAATTTGAGGATACTATCAAGTAAGGTGCTGAAATATCTATTTCTACTAGGATAATCCAGGATGGAAGTGGTTCAAAAACCCACAAACCATCTTTCTGATATGAATAAATCATGTCTGTTGTGAAAGTTAATCCTTGGCATTACTAAAATGGAGAGAGATTCAAATAAAATTCATATTGAGATATGTATATGGCCCTATCACCCACAAAATCTTTTGTAACTCCAGGAGAAGCTGGGGATTATAGAATACAGGAAGTAAATTGCTCTACGAATGTTATAGCAGTTTAACTATTGAAATAGTAACCTCTTACCATACTAGCATTTTAAATATAGTTTTTCATCTCAGAAATACTATAAACTTTACTTAGCACAGGAATACTTCTCCAATAACTTTGCTATGAATCAGAGATTCCATTTATTGAAGCCTTAACTTTGTTGTTAATACCTGAAAATTCTTAATTATAAAGTGGTGAGCAGTAATAATCAGTTGATTAGATGTTTGGCATGTCTTCTAATTTGAACTTAGATATCATGAGATATCTTTAAGGTAGTCCTTATAACCCAAAAGAATACATGAAATATATACTCTAACTAGTTCTAAATGTATTTAATGCAATAGCTTCAGAGTTTGGTGAGGATGGATAAGAAATATAGAATTCTAACAAAATCATCATTTCAGTCATTTTAAATATATAGGTTTTTCCCATTTATTTTCCCTCAACAAATATATAGAAATACCCATCTGGATCAATAAAATTAATTGAAATAGCAGTACCTTGATCACCAGGTAAAATAAATTCTCTTTGTATCTCAACTAAACCAGTAGAAACAAGATGCTTACTGCAGTATATTTCATTGATTTCAGAAGACTCCATTATAATATAAGAAAAGGCTGAATAGACATATTAATTGCGATACACTATGTCAAATTCAGTTTATTCAAAGCCTGTTTTATAACTATCAGGAATCGTTGAAATAAAAAAACTATTTGAAAAAATTGATCCATTTGGCAGAAAATGTACTACTCCAATATGTAATTTCCCTGATGATGCAGGTTTCCCTACTAGTTAATGAGCTGAGCCTCCTATAGAAGAAGCAATAGCTTAAGGAAAAACATTGAGGCTATAAAGTGAGTAGACAGTAAAGTAAATTGTATTAAGATTGTCATCTAATTTCCATATAAATCCACTCTAATTTGTTAGTTTTAGACTGCTTTATTCAATTGTACCAGATATATAAAATGATTTGGCAGTATTATCGTAGATTCCATAAGGGGCTAGCAGTTAATTTCCTTCAGTCTAAAGCATCTTTGACTATATAAGTCTTCCAATAGGATCAATTTTATAAGCATAGACCATATCATAAATTACTGCACTAGAGGTAGATTTAGCTTATACTATTGAAAATAAGTTATTATTTTCATCATCAAATTAGCAAAATGTAGACTCTCCATCACCCAATCCTGATTACATTGTAAGCCAGTAATTTTAAAATAAGTTCTTGTTGTAGAATGCAAAAAATGGAAATGATTTACCAGCCACAGGCACATTTTAAGAACTAGTCATTCCACATAGTACCAGTACTGAATCATCATATGTGGCATCAGCATAATTATATATTAATGTATTTGATTGAGTATAGAGTGGGTATATTGTCTAATAACACTCAGCTATTATAGGTTCTGTAAAGTTTTGAGCTGGGCTTATAACAACTTTAAAACTTTTAGTTAACTAAATAAAGAGTTATTTTTGCTTGATTTATATTCTACTTACAGTCTATTCAGATCCTTGACTAAATGACAAAGAAATTGTATAGATTCCTATACCAAGAGCAGTAGCATTGATATTAATTTAAGATCCTTCTGGAGCATCAGTTGAGAATATTGCACTAGGTTATATGTCGAAGTGATCTACTTTCCAACTGAATAATAGTCGCTCTCCTGTGCAAATCTAAGCTTGCTTTATTACTTAAGTGACTAATTCAACTTGTGGTAATTTAATGAAGAAGTCCTTGGGGTCATCAGGCCAATCTATGTTGAGAAAAGGACAACCCAAAAGACTAGATGTAGAGTACCCAAAGCCAGCTGAGTAATTAATTAATTCCATGTAAAAACCAGCATCTTAGTTACTCAATTTTCCAACTGGATAAACGGTTTCTGTGGCGAACACTGCTGAAAAATCCAGTAGAGCCCTGCTTGCACTAGTTGATAGAGAAGGTATGGGAGAAACGTCTTGTAACAATGAAGAAACACAAGAACCAGGAGCATTAAAATCTAATGTATATCTGTCAAAAACAGAAGATAGGTAGATATACTCTACAGTAAAATTATTAAATTAAGCAAGGTTACTATAACTCTATCCAGAGTGAAGAAAATACAAGTAACCGTTGTAGATATATATCTTTAATCCTACTGTCATGGCATCAGTAAATACTTGTCTGTAAATATTAATAACCATTATATAATTCTTACGTCTTCATACTCTAAATAGTAAGAGTTGGCATATCCCAGATTGCAAATATCCTAACTTTCTCAAGTACAATCACTTAGTACATTTTGGTGTCTTATTTTATCATAGAAACCTCATAATTCATTGATTCAAATGGGGCGACAAAACTAATAGAAAAAGACTATGAGTTACTAATTTGAAGATTTGGGTTTATAATTGTCATTAGAGCTATATTTTATGTTCTGTAAACGTAACCTGCTATTAATCTTCCTGAATCTAAAACAATTGCAGCTCTATTTTCATCCAAACTATTTGTAGCGACATTCAAAGTCACAAAATTAAATGTTCCTATTCTTTTATTGATCTTGGATATA